TCACTGCCCCTGACCACTGGCATGCAACAGAAGTAATGAAATATAATTTGCATCCAAATTAATTTCTCTGGAAGCATTTTCTTTCAGTTTGCAGTTCCCATGGTGAGACAGAAGCCAAGCATTAAAAAAGTAAAAGCCAACACTGAGGCAGGGAAGCAGGGGAAGAGTAAGAGGCAAATATGCTGACTCAGCAGTGGAGGAAGAGATAAGAATCTCAACAGACCTGGAAAAGGAGCAAAAGGTGGCCAAAAGGAAGAAGTGTATCCCAAAAAGTTGGTCAACGCTCACAGAAAGTTAAACCTCATTTTTGGCAACCTGGAGGCTGCATTATGACCCACGTGTACTACAGAGAGTCTGCATCGATACTATCCCTACAGCAATACTACCATGCAGGCATTAAGATCTGCCAGCTGGATTTCTCAAAAAAAAGACAGGAAGTTTCTTGCCCCTGCCCTCCAGTGGGATCGAGGACCCCTGGCCACAAGCAAGAGCCCAGGGGTGTTCCAATGACTTACATGACACCTTGCAGGACTTTTTGGGGGTCGAGGTCAAACAATCTGTCCACATAGTGGCGGCTGCTGGCTGTGACCTCCTGCAGAGAGAAAACAAACAGCAATGGCAACAGTTTATATCAACTCAGAGAATGGCAGGAGAACAGGAATGGCTTGTGCAGCAGCAGCTCCACAAAACCTCTCAGGCAAGAGGCAGCAAACCTCGAGAATGACATTTAAATGTGACACGTGTTTCTGCTGGGCAACATCCACCCGGGGATTAACCCTGTGTTCAAGTGTGATTTAGGGAAGATGAGGTGCTTAATGTAGATAACAACACAGTGTCAGAGCAAGGTAATAGGGAGCTATTTATGAGCTGCAGTTATCAGCACTGCCTCGAATTGCAGTTTTATTATGTTTAATTACTATACACAATAAACATGAATTCCTGAAGGAAAAAGTTTCTAGGAGCAGTTGGTGTTGCTCAAGACACATACCCACAACCCCTCCAAAATAAGGAAGCTGGTAAGAAGACATTTTTCTGTAACATACCTACACATTTCAGAGCCTGTCCCCCACAAGATCAGCGGGAACAGCAGCACAATATTCCCCACAGCATTCTCACATCACTTCAGAAGACAAAGCAAACTCTTCCCAGCAACAGGACCATGCTTGTAAGCTACACATTTATGCACCAGTGATTTGCTATTCCTTTTGAGAAGATCCAAGGTTGGAGATGGAAAGCGTTCCAAAAAACAAGGGTGGGAAAGGGGAAGGGAATTTTCCCCGCAGGTTCTCACGAACACGTGCCAGGCTGTGCTTCCATTATCTCACCTCTTCTTCTCCTTGCCAGTTCACTTTTTATTAAGCCTTTCCCAGTTTTTCCTTGGGAGTTTTCCTTGAGAGAAGCTAAAAGGGAATTGAAAACTCTTCCTTGCTTTTGCAAGTGCCTGCTCAGGGACTGTCTCTGCTCCTGCTTCCCCACCCAGATGTCAGCCGCAGCTCCTTGCCTCTGGTCTCACCTAGCAGAGGAGAGTCATCTAGAGACAGCAGGGCTCCTTTGTCTCCAGGAATACCATTAAACTGTGCCACACAAACCCTACAGATAAACTTCCACCGTGTAATGAGAGACAATATTTTACAGAACAGCTTTTAGCTGTCTGACCCGTGTATCTGTATGAAGAAGTTTTTAGGACTTCAGAGCCCCTGCAGCTGTTTCTAAAATACCCTGATCCCCACAGCACCAATTCCAAGGTCTGCAGCATGCAGAAGGGCGTTCGTGTCCAGGCGGATTTTGGGGGGAAAAAAAGCAAAAGCCCCGACCCTCAGCGCGGGCAGCAGCACCCGACTGTCCCTTGCGCACCGCTCCTGCCGCACAGCCCGGGACCGTTCGCGCTATGCGGGGGGCTGCCAAAGCCCCCCGCGGCCGCGGGGAGAGCCGCGCCCGGCCAGGCGTGCACGGGGAGCCCCCGGCCCGCTCCGCACCCCGGCCACGGGCGGCCCGCGGGAGCCGCCGAGCCCGGGGCCGTGCCACGGTAACGACACGGCTCCGCAGCTCCGGCTCGGGCCGCTCGGGAGGGCAACCCCGCCCCGGCTCGGGGCGCTGAGCGGAAGGAGCGCGGCCCCGGTGGGCAGAGTGGGCCCGGCCCCGGTGGGCAGAGTGGGCCCGGCTCCGGGGCCAAGGTCAGCGGGCCCGGCACTCACCGACAGGACGCTCATGCGGAGCGGCGCCTCCAGCACACACGCCATCTTGGCGGAGCGACCCGCGGCGCCTGGGGCGGGCTGGCGGCGGGCTCAGGCGGCGCTCATGGCGGAGCGGCGGGCGGGTCCGGCGGGTCGGGGCGGGCGCGGGGCCGGGCCGGGGCCGCGGGGACGGGGCGGGCCCAGCGAATCGGCCCCGCCGAGCCCCCGCTGCCGCCGCTCCGCGCATGCGCCCCGCGCGGGCAGCCGCGTGCTGGCCGGCGCGCGCTCTGCGCATGCGCGGGAGGGGAGGGGGGAGGGGGGAGGGAAGAGAGACAGGGCGCGGCCTCCGCCGGGAGCCGGACAGAGCCGAGAGGGGCCGAAAGGAACCGAACAGACCCGAGCCCGAGGAGCCGAAAGGAGCCGAGCGGGGCCCGAGCCCGAGTCGAGCCGAGTCCGACCCGCCCGTTCCCACCCTCGGCCGCGCATAAATGGTTTGAGTTCCCATATTTGTCATTGCTTTTGTTGCCCTCTTTGATTTGTTTGGTTTTGAGTTTGCCTTTCACAGAAATACCCCCCGGACCCCACGGCGTCACTCAGAGGGGCTGTACAGAGCAATAGGATGGGCTGGGTTTGTATCAGCCCCTGCATTTCCCCACCTGAGTTGTGGGGATACCCGTTATACCAACCCCAAAGTCAGAACTAAATGGGGGGCAGGACAGTAAAAACACCACAGCTCAGGTTCACGTGTCTCACCTTTTGCTCTTCCCAGGTAAAGAGTTTCTCCAGCTGTTAGAGACTGCAGGGGATAATGAGAACACAATAAACACACTTCAGGGTGCAGCCACAAGGTCACTTTAATAGCTTTAATTTAAAAAAATACTCTACTTGAAAAAAGGCTATTTGTCTTTTTGTTTTCCTCTGAGTAGATCAGTGTCATGCTCTGAAAATATCTGTGTGCTGGCCTGGAATGAAACAGGTGAACATTTTTCTCAAGCACTAATAACAGCACATACAGTTTTGAACTAAGTGCAAAACTCATACAATGAAAAATCTGCAAAACAAGGGTCTGACAAAGGAACACTTTCCACAGATTTCTCACCAAAATTTCAGAAGTCAAAACTTTTCAAAGAGACTCTAAAGCTTCTTTCTAAAGAGGACTAGAGGCTCTGGGTCTTAAAAGCCAATTTAAAGTTGTCAGCCTTCTCTAGAGTTTTACATACTTTTTGAAGTATTTGGCCTTTACTGGAACAGCTCAGAGCTTCAATGGAGATCTTCATGCAGCAGAGGATCTTGCCAGCAGGGAAAATCCATAATGGATGAGAGCAAGGTAGTGGAGGATACCGCAAACTGCAAAGAGGGTGTGGACAAGTGGTAGCTCTAGAGATCAGACATGATTCATACTTCAAAAAATGTATGGTAACTGTATTTAGCAGCTGCATTCTGCTCAATGGATGCTGAAATACTTCATAAAAAATTCCTGAAAAGGTTCAAAAATCAGTATTGTACCTTGTACAAGTCTGCTTTCTAAAGAGCCTAAGCATATTTATGAGAAGGGGGGGGATGTGGGACAAGACACAACAACACAGCTTTAAAAGCAATAGAAATCAGAGTGAAAAGTCTATTCCATGTAAGACACACATTCCACTCAGTGCAGAGAACCTGAGAGCTCCACGCTATGCTCAGGGCCCTTGGGTGGCTTTCAAGTCCAGAATACAATTTATCCTTAAAATACCTTATTGTAGTGTTCAGATCATGAGGCATGATTCAGATTTCAGCACTGCAGACCCAGGACCCTTAAGGAGACTCAGCTATCTTCAGTACCTTATCTGACAGTTCAGAGCTACTTTACACCCCCTGAGGGTCACCCAAACACTCACAGGTTCTCCTCACCCCTCAGCGCAGCTCTTAGGGGCTGTTCTGACAGAGGAGCTGGGAAATCAACTGAGGGAGCATTAATTTTGTCACGCCCTAGCCCTTGAATACTCGCACACATTTAGTTTTCATAGTGAACTGCTGACAGGAGAGGAACCAGGTGGATCTTGAGCTCCAAGTGTTTCCCTGCTACAGAACTCACACTCACCAATCCATTTCACTCACTGCTCCCTGCCAGTTCCTTCTTCCTGTCAGGACACTTTCTCCTCCACACTCCCTGTGCCTTGGAAGAGGAAAAGCACAGGAGCTACTTCCACAGCTGTGGGGAAGTCTGGACTCCAAAACCTTAGCCCAGAACACCAGCAGACACTGGCAGGAATGAGTCTAATGACATCTGCTTGAAAACACTGTCACTGCCATGAACTCAGGAAGTTTTGTTATCCTCACAGCCTTTCAGGCCAAAGGAGTGTCTAATTTGGTTGCTAATAATTCAGGGCAAAAAAAAAGCAAAAAGAAATCTTCCAAAAGGGTCTCTATTCTCAGCTGAAGGTTATGAAGGTGCATTGGAAGATTCCAAACCCAGCTGTAAGAGTTCAGCAAGTTACAGCTACTGAAAAGAAGTGAATAGTGAAAAGGGAGGCTGATGATCACGGTGGGTGCTACTGCCTGAAGCAACTTAAAAACAGCCACCACCTTGTATGAACAGCACAGCCTTAATTAATAATCAGTAAGAGCTGGGACAGTGGTGATGCCCACATTTAGGAAGCTGTTCTTCCTAACTATTTGTGTTTTAAGACATTGTTCTCAAGTCTTAAGAAATAGAACACAAATGAGGTTCTAAGAACAGAGATGCACTTTGCCATGGTCCCCGTAAAACTGTCATTCTTCAAATCAAGAGACTTGGTCCCCTACCAAAACTATAATTAAAAGCAATCCTGGACAATACACAGTTTGGTTTACGACCATGAAGTTTTCCTATGTCATGACTAAGACCAGAAAAAAAAAAAATCTTTATTCTTCTATTGCTGTTTTGTTATCCTGGGAATTCTATTTTCAAATGTAATTCACAGAGCTATTTTGTGTGCTACTTTGTATTAAAAGTTCAGTATAAAACAAGACAAAAGCAATAAAATCAAATCATTCAGTCTTGTAAGTCAGACATCCTCTCACTTGGGCTTGGGCTACAGTCTAAGTTGTTGTTAGACAAGTACAGTGACTCTTGTAGAGCTGTACAGCTGAAGATATGGAGAATATACCAATAACCAGGGACTGGAGCAAAACTGAGTGATAGGCTTTAAATCCTTTGTCAAAGTACTTTGTTGGAATAGTTTGCTTCTGACTTCCACGTTTAACCCAGATAAACCATCTTCTCTGTGAGAGGTACATCCAGCTCAAGAAAGTAAACGAATAAGATCACGTAACATTAAAAACACGAGTACTCCAGCAGTTCTCACCACCTTCCCACAGAAAGGCTGGCAGAGAACTTAGTTATCCATCCCAGGAAGTGCTAATCTGTTTTGTCTTCCTCCTCTGCAGCATAGATGGCTTGATTCCTCCTCTTGATCTTTTTAATGCCACTGTTCCCGTTCTCATCGCCCCCAATGCGCTTCAATGGTCTATCAGTGGAGCTCTTCTCCTCCCCCTGCTTGCTGCCACCAGACTTCTCCAGATCCTCATTGTTGGAGTCCATAGCATCATCGGAGGACACCGCCATGGAATCTGGCATGATCCGGATGTCAGAGAAGCTGGTGGAGAACTCGGGAGGGTGATCAGGGGAAGGATCCACAGAGCACGTACTCAAGTCTTCATCGCCACCTTCTTCATCCAGCATTATCTCATCCGGATTGATGGAGGAGAGGCCAGAGTTATCTGTGTTATATTCACTGGGCTCCTCTGCTGACCCAGTGCTGTCCATCTCCTCCTCCTCCTCCTCTTCACATTCACCCCGTCCTGAGCCCTCTTCCTTCGCCTGCTGGATCCTGTCGTTGATGTCAGTGAGGCCAAACTGGGCGCAGAACTCGGTGGTCTGGGGATTGATGGTATGAACTGGCTGCATGTTTTTTTGGGGTTTGTTGGGATCATAACAAGCAGCTGTCAAGGTGAAGTTACAGGGGATTGTGAGGTTATGATTCAGTTCTTCTAACACCTCTTTGATGGCTTCGTCTGTCACGCTGTAATCCCACCTAAAAAAGTGCAGAGAGTTTAAACAAGTGCAGCTGGTCCAAAGGTACTGCCTGTTCCCACTGCAAAGGAGGGGTTCTGAATCCATCCCACAACAGACACCTCATTTCTCAGGCTTTCCCTGATCGTTTTCAGATCATTCCCTGATCTTTTCAGGGAAGTTTTCAGTTTCCTTAGGTCAGTACCGAGATTTCCCCCTCCCCTCCCAAGGATTTGTGTATTATGTCAGCCCACCCCCACAACCCAGCCTGATTTTCAGCCTCACAATCTGACTGGCAGGATGATCAGCCACCAGGCATTTTCTGTCCCTCCACTGCTGGTACCTGAGTTTGCAAAACAAAACTAAGTGCCCAGGAAGAGCAGGAAGGAAGCTGCTTGCTCCAGAGGACAGCTCCGAGCATGCCCTTTGCTTCCCAAGCATTTAGCGAGTCCTGCAGGCACAACAGGTCGCAGGACACAAATACAGCTCTGACATAATTTTACTTCCAGTCCAGAAAAAAAAAAAAAAATCCCACTTTCCTCTCTACTTTGCAGGCAACATACTTGGCATGGAGGCCATTCTTTTCAGGCATGTTCCAGGAGCTCTGAGTCACATTAACCAGGCTGTTGGTCGCCTTGAGCACCGCAATCCACTCGGCATCATACTCCAGAGAGTCACCTGCGTTAGGATCGTGCTCCACCTCTATTATCTGCTCACAAGACACACAACATAGATAATAACAACAAGAGAAATCACAGAGTTATTCCTCTTGACATCAGAAACTCCTTAAAGTTTTGTTACTTTCACTGTGCAGTTTTAACACTGTTTAAAGTACACTGAGCTAGGGTTCTCAACCAAACAAGTGCTTTCAAGCCCTACCTACAGGTTTAGAGCAGAAGGGCTAAAAAAGGACAATCAACAACAGCAAAAAAGGCATTTCTGAATTTTAGCTTACAGCAAATAAAAAGCAGAACACCCTCCCCTCTCTACTGCCAGCAACTGGGCAGTTATGCAACTTGGAATTCAATTTGCCTGCTCTTAAATTCACATACACATCAAGAACTGATGGCAACAGTCATTCTGCTGCATGAACACACAGCAATGAACAGGAATTGGTTTTAAACTCTTTCAGCTGCTGATGGATTGAAATCCAAATCACTTTGTCTTCAGTGACATTAACCCAAATCAAAGTGTTTGGTTTAGTCAAAGCACTAGTCAGACTCTGATTTTAAATGATCCATAAAGTAATTCCACCTTTTAAGGCAGTTTTGGAACAGAAAAAAAAATATGCATTTTAAACCAGAGCTACACGCGGGAGCATCACCACGCTGCTGCAGGTAGTACTAACCCAGATCAGCCTTGCTACAGGATTTTAAGTCTGGACTGGCATCCCAGTGTCCCTCTGCGTAGCCAAAGCCCAGCACGTGTCCAAAACACAGATAATGAACCACCTTCCCTTTCAGCTGATCAACAAAAGCGACTTTCAGACTCCTAAAACACTTGACTGCATTTGAAGAAGAGCTGTCAGGGGCTCCCTCTCACAGCAAGGAGTTTTAGACTCATCCATATAAGTCAAGTTATTTTTCCGAGGTGAAAGGGGATGGTAGGGATAAGCAAACCCTGCACGGCAAGACCTGAGGTCTGCTTATTTCAGCCCAAAATTATGCAAAGACCATTCCACACACCCCTTTCCTCCTTTCTTTAAAATTTATCAGCACTATTCTCCAGCTGATACCAAAGCACTGCAGTAGCAGCCCAGACAAGGGAAATACTGCCTGTGAAAACCCAGTGCACATGTCCATCACCTGCAGGAAGTCTCTGTGTGGCAGGCATTTATCCAGAGCCAGAAACTTGGTTGCTTTTGGCAGCTCTTCTTTGGAGCTTGTCTAGGAAACAAATGGTGTTCACAGTGTCATTAGCAGTTCTGTGAAATCTGACCATTCTAAACAAGTTGTATAGACAGGTTTACAGGCATAACTTCTGCAGGAAAAATAATTTCTGAAATAGAAACATAGCTTGGGTTCATAAGAAAGGGATGAAGGGACAAAGAGGAGGACAGACTTCGCTGGGAGTCACCCAGGAAGCTGGATGAAGGTGAGAGCAAGATAAATCAAGAGCCACATGTCGGCCCTCTGGCTGAGGACAGCCAGCCTGGGAGCAAAAAGGAAAACTGTAACCATATTAAAACAGACTTATTGAGCCTGCAAGATCTGGAGTTACATTTTTACACCCAAATAACATACAAACAGGAAAAGGAGGTCGCACCACTTTCAGGAATAACTGTTTCAACTGCACAGGCTGGTTTTTGGCTTAACCCAGGCCACCAGGCAACCCCACCTGCCAAGCCTTACTACAGGCACACCCCCCTCCTCTTCAGTGGCTCCTCTATCACCTTATTTTGAAGTTGTCTCCTTCCTCAACAGAGCTGGAAAGAGAGTGCTTTCCTGTAAGCTAAATTAACACATTTCAAAAGCAAAGTAACACCAGCTATTTCGTGCCATCCTTGAAGAAGATTAAGGGAGTTACACCCTTGATTTATAACATCTCTTTAACTTACACAAACTAGTAGTCTTAACACCACTTTTTTTTTTTTTTTTGTGGCTTAAGCTGAGTTTTAACAACAAAAGCCACGAAGAAGTTGCTTTTCTGGACAGGATTACTTGCAGTGGCATTCTAACCTGTGTGTGGGACACATGCATTCTTCACTGTCTTTCCCCTCTTTACCTCATGTTGCATGAAAGCTGCGAATTTAACGTGCAGGTGTGCTGAGAACCAGTAGGTGGGTTTCAGGTGCTGCAGGAGCTCCGAGGCAGCAGGGTTTCCCAGCGTGTTGCTCTCCACTTCTTGGCGGAAGAAGGATTTCATTTTGAGGAGCTGTTTCTTGTTCCCATAGTGGTAAATGCTCCTGGGCCAGTCATGGGACATGAATATATCCATGGGACGCTTCAGCTGCCAGACAAACATACAGTGTATAAACACCACGTGTGATAAAGGAGTTAGGAATCCCACAGCACAAGGGGAACACATGTCACGCGTTCCCCCTCAGACCAACAGCCTCCCTTCCAAAGCCAGGGACCACACTGCCCAGCCCCATCCTGAGAGTGGCCTCTGGAGCTGCAAAGGGACTCTGATGTCCATAGTTTGTTCTACGCTTTCTTGGGACAGTCAGCTGGGTTTTGCACTGCCTTAGAAAAGAGATCACATCATCACCATAAGAGTCAAGCACTCAGAGGGAATTACAGGTGTAGATCAAGTCCTCTGTCCACAACCCAAGGCATCTTCTTCCTCATGAAATTGTTAAAAGCTCTGTTTAAAAGGGATAATGGCTGAGCACAATATTCCTCCTCAAAGGAAGCACCCCTCGGACCTAAGCAATGTCTTAAAGCGTGTCTTGGTTTAATATTTCCCTCAGTTGTATCAGAACCCACCTCTGGATGAAACCTGAGCCCAAGTAACAAGAAACTTGGAGTGAAACACATCAAACTCTTTGCAATGAAGCAAAGATTCACTCTGTGTCCAGCATCCCTGTACCTACCGATCACTTCAGTGTGCAAGTGCAACCTGGACAATCCTTCACAAGATGCTCAATGAGATCTGTATTTACACCACAATCTCAGCCAAATGGAGTGGCCCTGTGACACAGCAGGGAGTAGGCAAGAGCTCAAAAATAAAGTGAAACAGTCCTTCGAATTTCTCACCCTGGGGTCAAAAAGACTTAAACCATGGGGATTTGGGATCAGCTTGTTTAGCTGGTTCAATTTTGAATAGTTAACTTTGTACCAACCACCACCTTGGATGTTAGATAAGGTAGCATCCACCTTCCTAAAGCTAAGGTAAAGCTGGAACAGAGGGGTATCACTGGAGTACCTTCCAATTAAAATTCTATCAAATTATCCAACAATTACGAGTTTTATCCAACTTAAAAAAAAAATCATACAAAAAGCCCGCTCCTGTCTGTGCCTGATTCACACCAAATCTGCACTGATACACAAAGCATTGGGGGAGATACTCAGCAGGAACAACAGCGGAACAACATCCAGCATAAAATGGTCTGCCCAAAGCAGCTGAGAGTTGTTGGCAAGATTTGCTATCCAACAGCACACTTGGTCAGAGTAGCTGTAACTTCTCACTTCCAAATGAACAAGAACTATTTACTGCTGTTTAAAAAAACAGGAATTTCACTAACCTGTTTGAGTTTGAAGACTTCAATATTCCTCACATGGTAAGCACTTCTAATTGTTTGCTGGTTGTATGGTGGGCACTCAAAGTGGCCTGAAACATTGAAAACAAAAGTAGTTGCTTAAAACACTAGTTCCCTCCTACACTGCTGGCAAGGCAGAGTTTTGGGGTCACACAGACACCTAGAGCACCCCAAATACAAGGCTGGCACTAATCAGACACAGAGCTTACACCAACAGGCTGCCAATCTTTTATGTTGTAAAAATGAGCCTCCAACAAGGGGCACTTCTTCCACTGTGTGTCTTCTTTTCACAAATACAGAAAATACAGTAATTCGGTTGTGGAAACAAAACCCAGGAATTTGGCTCCAATACTCAAAAGCCAGGACCTGTTGGAAACAAATAACTTTTGGCAGAAAGAATTATGAGGTTTTACAGCTCTGAGGTGAGATGGCAACCCTCAGTACATCCACAGTGACACTGCACAACCATGTGCAATTCCAGATGTGGAGAGCTGCCTGCTGCACAGCCATGACACTTCTGCATCGTTTAATAGCACGGCTGCACATGCAAGTGAACCTCTGCTGGCCCGTTCCTTGCTGGCACAGGAGAAGAGCACTGGGGAGATGAGAAAATGCTGAAGTTGGGCACAGACACGGTGAGAGCACAGAGCAAGCCTCTGTGAGTGGTCAGTGGTCAGAACATAAATTAGGATGTAACAACTCAGAAAGAGGCATAAACTAAAAGATCACAAAGCACCACATGAGAACTGACTCCTGACTCAGTCCACTGAGGCTGTGATTTTCTGTGTTTGTTCAAGAGTGCTGCCACCCACCACCAAACTACAGCTTAACAGGTTCAGCAGCAGCTCAGAGATCCCTGTCACAGCCCACAGGTACCACAAACACGACCCCTGACAAAGGGATGAGTTTCCAAGTTTGCCTGGGGACAAGGAACCTGAAAGTCTAGCACAGCTCCTACATACTCTAAAGAATGCACAGAAAGCATACTTATTTAGTAGTCATGGTTATTGTCAAGAGAGTCTCGACTCAGCTCCCACACGCAATATTCAGGCATACAAAGTGTATGCTTGATAACAACAAATTTAATTAGCATTGATGGGTTTAGATAGAATCACGTGTTCTAGAAAACTAGTTCAGTACACTGCAGCTTGAAAGCCTCCTGCAAAGCTTCTCTGAAGCCCTGTGTTACTGAAGATAGCACTGCATAGTAATCACAATCACTCTTGCATGTGCCAAGATCAGAAAGAACACTGACACAGGGCATCATCTATGACAAGATTTTTGCCACCCTTCCAAGGAAAAACTCTTGAATACACACAAACATAACCAGGAGAAACTGCATGTACGGACATTAAAACTCAGGACAGGACATTTATAGAGTGTCAAACTGGGAACACAAGGAAAACTAAAGACTCTTGCACCGCAGGCTAAAAGGACACTGCCATGGAAGAAACAAGACTGTTCCAACAACACTCCAAAGGTGCCTTGCTTCTTGCTGTGGCCGCCGGGCAGCTACAGACTCATCACCAACTCCAAAAAAATCTGGGTATTGAGCCAGCAGAGGTTTCCAGCCCTAGAGCTGGAGTGGGGATGAGGATAGCCAGACCCACCCCCACGACACTCCCTCCCCGCTGTCCCGGTACCTTTCCGGTAGTCGTGAGATTTGAAGATGCCCGAGATGCCGCCGATCCTCACGCCGCGGAACCGCACCACGCCCGCGTAACCTGCGGGACACAGGACAGCGGCCGCTCACCCACGGCAGAAGCAGGAGGCGACACGGCTGGAGAGGACACGGCGGGGCAGGGGCGGGAGGGGACAGGGCAGGAGGGGGCACGGCGGGGCCGGGCCGGGTCTGGAAAGGGTCGGGGCCAGACCGGGCAGGGCCGGGGCTGAGGGCAGGGCCCTTACCCAGGTAGTAGATGTTGGGGGCCACCCAGCCGCCGTAGGGCAGCTCCTGCAGGTGGTTGGAAGCCTCGTGGTTGCCGCCGATGAACACGGTGAGCACCGGGGCTTTCTTCTCTCCCGAGTAGTACCTGCGGAGACACGGCAGCTGCTGCACCGGCCGGCTCGCGGGGCCGGGGCCGGGGCCGGGGCCGGGCCGGGCCGGGCGCTCACCGGTAGAAGGTCTGCATGTGGCGGTACTTGGCCGGCACGGCCATGCAGCGCAGGTCCGCCTCGTTGCGCACCGCCTGGAAGTCCCCGCAGCACAGCAGCAGGTCGGGCCGCACGTTGTGCCGCCGCTGCAGCAGCTCCAGCGTCTCGTACATCTTGTCCAGGGCGCCGTGGCAGCACCCGGCCACCGCCACCTTCATCGCCGCCACCGCTCGGGCCCGCCCCGCGCGCCCCTTCGGCGTCACCGCCGCGCCTGCGCCGGGACACGGCCCGGGGAGGGAGATACGACAGACACGGCCCCGGCACACCGGCCGGGGGGACACAATGGAACCGGGGGAGACACCGCCCCCGGAGAGACCCAACCACGGCTCCCTGGGCCAGCCTCTGCCTCAACGGGTGCTGCCCCGAGCTCTAGTGGGCCCTGTCCGGTGGCCTCTGCTGGTCCCTTCCAGCCTTATCCGTTCTGTGGCACTTTCTTCCCAGAAAAAGGGATTCAGGCATTGGCAGGGGCTGCCCAGGGAGGTGGTGGAGCCTCCATCCCTGGAGGTGTCCAAGGAACGGCTGGACGTGGCACTCGGTGCTCTGGACTGGGGGACAAGGTGGGCATCGGGCACAGGGTGGACTTGGTGGTCTCAGAGGTCTTTTCCAACCTCAGTGATTTCTGTGACTGGCAGGTGGCGCGACTGCTCCCCTCCACCCTGGGCACAGTGATGAGCCCCACGGTGCATAACCAGTTAAAAAATGGCCCATCTCACACACAGCGGGGGGTTGTACAGACCTCTGATGCCCTTGGCAGTGGGCAGGAGCCCCTGCAGAGCCACAGAGGCTGCACAAGGGGAGCTGCCCAGCTCCCCTGGCCCTATAGCACCCACCAGGCACTGCCCTGCAGGAAATAGCAGGAGCTTCAGGCTCATCGCATGGCTCAAAGACCACGAGCAGAGTGTCAATGGAGCAACAGCAGAGCAGCACGAGCAGCGGCTGTGCCAGCTCTCACCCGGCATTTGTGCCGATAAAGGCCCAGTTGGTGTTTGCAAGGGATTCACCATCCCTGCAGTGCTTGGCCCTGCCAGCTCAGCCTCAGACAGGCGTGGCTTTGGCAGAGCCAAGCACTGGCTTCTTGGAACTTCGCAGCACCCAAGGACAGGAACAGTCAGTGACTTCACCAGGGCAAGGGCGTAGGAGGCAGGGTGAGCAATCAGGCATCTCCCCTTTTCCTCTCACAATGACAAGCTCCCTCTTTGGAGAGCACTGATTTCTCCTTTTGCAGGGCAGTGGGTTGGATCACAGGGTGGTATTTGTGTGTCACATAATAAAACTGCTCCAGATTTTTTCCACTTCAAGATTCGACTTCAAGACTGGTTTGGGGTTTTTTTTAAGTCTTTGAGGGATTGAACAAAATCACAAGAACATAGTTAAGCATTAACTTGCTAGTGCCTCCCCTGTAATCATGGAACCAAGCAGACATTCCTGTTCCCCCACAGTAGCAAGTATTATATAATGGCCTCTCTTTTGATACTAAGAAAATATGAGTGTTGTCTCCTACATTTCATAATTTCACAATGCTGGTTTACTCTGTGTTCTTTGGGGCTCATCCAAGCTCAGCTGAAGTGAAGGGGAAAGTTCCTCTGGCTTTCAAACCCCACAAGTCTCCAAGGGAAAAGCACACACAGGAGCATTCTGGGTGCTCTTGGCTCTTTCATAACCTTGCCAAGATCCACCTGGGTGTAGTGTGAGAACTCAGAGTGTCCAGTACATCTCCTGGGAAAGATTTCCAGCTCCCTGGGGAAGAACATATTTGTTATGTCTCAGATTTCCTGAAAGGAAGGGGGTGAAAGACAGAAAAGGTCTGTGAGTCTCTGGAAGATAACACCTTACCCAGGATACAGCAGCTCAAGGCGCTTCCTGAGACTCCTGCTTACCCAGATTCATCCCCAGCCAGGCCAGGTAAGCTGACACTGTAATTCCTGAGTTTGTTAGCTCATGCTAATTTCTCATACTCCATGTACTCCTTATCCCAAGTGAACTGGGGTGCAATAAAGCCTATAGGGGTCTTTTATACTGTAGCATTTGTGTGTTTATACGCTACTCGTGTTGCATCTCAACATCTTTAATTTAACTCGGAGTGTTCACTGAGCAAAACTGCTCTGCCCTTTCCAGAGCACAAAGGGAATCAGCCATGCTACTGTTTACAGGGTAAGTTGAAGCAAGTTAATGCTTAACTATGTTATTGTGATTTTGTTCAGCCCTTCAGGACTGTTTAAAAGCCCATGTGACTGAAGCACAGCTCTCTTCCACCGCATGACTGACGCGTGTTTGGCTCTGCAGTCACAGTCCCCTGCCCTGGTGTGCTCGTGCGTGTGTCCCGTGCCTGGGTGTCCAGTCCTGCAGCAGAGCACCTGCACTTCTCCAAAGTGACCAAGTGCACATCCTGTCCTGCATGGCAGGAGAAGGAACTGTGAGGCCAAGAAGGGAGGAGTCTCACAAAACAGGCTCAGATCAGTGCATTGCTTGGGTAGGAGGTATTTGCCCTTTTAGCTGTTGCCTGTCTGCTCTGACCAATGAGTAATGTTTTTTTCCTGAGCCGACTGTGATAATTTAGTGCCATGGAAGTAGTTCAGTTTCCCTCTCCAGGGAAATAAGGAAGAATGAAAAGCATTCTAAGGGGCTGTGGATGACAGGGTTGTTTCCCTCATCTCTGAGAATGGAATTGAGAGGAGCTTTTGAAGACTTTTCTGCCAAGTGCTTTCTGGTGTTTTTAGAATATGCTACAGGACTTCTAGCACATTTAAATGATACAAAAATTAAGAGGTACACCAAGAGGGAAGCATCTGTATTTGGCTTTTGGGGAGGGACAGCATGAGACAAGGGAGGTACAAGGAGAAGTACTGGGAGACAGTGTTTGTGAAGGAGAGGGAGATACAGTGGAGGTACAAGTGTTCCAGCTGAGATTTTGAGGTGTCCCATGAGGGCATGTGGGGGAGGCATGTCAGTGTGTGTGTGCAATTGAAGGGAGAGGCTGCTGCAGCCAGACAAGTTGGGAACTCTCTTAGGAAAAGGCTCCACGAGGTTGGCCTTAATATCACAGGGCTCACCTGCAGCACTGTTCAGGTGTCTCTAGGCGTCTCCTCCGCAGATGGTCTCTGATAATTGCAACATGATCCGATCTGCAGTGCAGGAACACATGCTGCCAACACGGGGCCTGCTTTGGGCAGAGGTGCTGCAGCTGCCTCCCCCTTCCAGCTGCACCAACAGGGCTCTTCTCCATCTTATTTGTACTTTTTCCTGGAGGAAGCTGCTTTGCCAGAGGGCACTACTGATGGCCAATGAGGGCTGGAAACCCGCTGGAGCAAAAGAGATGAAGTGACCCTCAGTAAACTTGCACCACAAGTCCTGTGTTCAGCTCTGGGCCCCTCACTTCAAAAAAGACATTGAGGGGCTGGAGCATATCCAGGGAAGGACAGCAAGGCTTGTGAAAGGGAAAACAAGTGTGATGAGGAGTGGCTGAGGGAGCTGGAGCTGATCAGTCTGGAGGAGTCTCAGGGGAGATCTCAGCTCCCTGACAGCGGGATGTGCTTAGGTGGGGGCTGGTCCCTTCTGCCGTGCCTGCAGGGAGAGGCCCAGAGGAAACGGCCTCAAGCTGAGACAGGGGGGATTCAGGTAAAGTATTGAAATGGGCTGCCCAGGGAGATGGTGCAGTCCCCATCCCTGCGGGTGTTTGAAGAGGGGTCTGGATCTGGCGCTGGGAGATGTGGTTTGGTGGTTTAGAGTGCACAGTGGCAGTGCTGGGTTGATGGTTGGACTGGATGATCATAAAGGTCTCTTCCAACCTTGACGATTCTACGATTGTATATTCGCTGGTGGATTTCATGAGGGGAAACTAAAAACCACCGTCCGCGGTGGCTGGCGAACCCCAGGCCGGGGCTGAGGCGGGGGACCGGCGGTGAGGGAGAGAGGGACCCGGGGGCTCGCTGCGGCGGGACCCTCCTCCTTCTCCCACAGCTCCTGCTCCTCCTTCTCCCGCTCCTCCCGCTCCCGCTCCGCGGCTCTGGGCGGGCCCGGCCGTGCGGAAGGGGCGGCCGGAGCGGGCGGCGGAGCGCGCCCAGCGGCGGGAGCGGCGGCTCGGCTCGGCATGGGACGGGACGGGGCGCTGCCGCCGCGGGTACCGGAGGGCCTGGGGCGGGAGGAGGGGCGGGGGTCGGGGCGGAGAGGCAGCCGTGGGTCGGGGTCCCCTCAGGGCCCGCGCGGGGGGCCCCGGGGCGGTGTCGGTCGGTGCGGAGCCGGCGCGGGAGTGGCGCTGCCGAGTCCGGGAGCAGCTCTCGGGATGTCCCGGGAGGGTCTGTCGGGGTGTCCCTGGGGGGTTGTCGGGGTGTCCCGGGGGGCAGCGGGGCCGGCGGTGGCGGGACACGCGTGAGGCGGTGCCACTCACCCCGCAGACCCCGGCGCTCCGCCGGGTGGAGGGGCCGGGGCTGGGAACGGTCCCGGGAGAGTTTTCCCCAAGGGCTGAGGCGCAGCGGCTTTTGAGCACAGCGTGTTCCCAGCCCGGAGTGTCCCGCAGTGCCGGTGGCTGTAACGCCGGAGGTAACGCCGGTGAAGGATCTCCCCTCCTCAGGCTGAGCTGGTTTTGTAGCCGCTCCTGGGAGCTGGACCTATGATTGTCCTCGGTGCAGTTGTGAATTAATACGTGGTCATGAAAATAGGATTTAATTTTTTTCCCCGAAGTATTTCTTCATGGGCAGGAAAGGGAACAGCTTTGGCTGCAAGACTGCTTGTTTCACGGGCAGATGAATTCAAGATTAATTTGAGCATAAACTTGTAAAACTGAGATTGAGTAACAAGTAGAATGATTTATGAAGGAGGTGTTCCTGCTGGAGTAATTCTCTCTGCAGGTCATCAGACTACCTGCACTGGTCTCAAGTAATGTAAACATTTTTAAGCTTCGGACTAATTATATTACCTCTGTTTTTCATGCTGAAGAAGGAAGCCCTGGGAGATGTGCTGTTTTGTGCTCCCATCTTCCCAATAAATGCAGGCTAGGTAGTCCCCAAGCTGTTTGCTATTGAAGTGCTGCCTGCAAGGCTCGGTACATTTTCCTTGGTGGTGGTCTCATGCCTTTAGGCCACGTGATGTGATGCCTGCTTGGGGAAAAAAAATCTTCCAAGCACTTAGTGAAAATAGCCACCTCTTCTCTTGATTATTCCTTCTGAATCTCCCAAACCTGGCAGACCTGCTCGTACAAGTTGTGTATGGGGAAGCTGTTTTCCCAAGAGCTTTGAGGAGATGGTCAGTGCTGTTAGACTTCTCTTAGTTCTGTAGAATTATGGATTTAATGTCTGCTGCATACTGAGAAGTTGAAGTAAGAAACAGCGGTGAGCTGCTTGCTTTTTCCCCCCATTGTTTATGTATCTTGAAATGGTAACACTGTGTATCAATTGTAACTGATTTATATTTGCCTTGATATAAAATGAAAAAGTCAAAGTCCCCTGCTGGCACAAGGCCAGTTTCCATTACCTAAACCTTTGCAACCACTGTCATGTGTTGTATTATTTTGTGCTCCTAATTTGCACAGAGGTGCAATGTTAAAGGTAGCTGCGGGCAAAGTGCCTCAAATTACAGCTGACCAATGTGTGACTGCCAAACACTGCAGAGATTCACTGCAAAAGCATCTACTTCATTTCCTTCAGCTGCAACCTGTGGAGCAGGTGATGAATAATGTGGTTCAGGCAGCTCAGAAAGCTCTGTGGTGGAGCCCTGCGGTCTGACACTCACTGCTGGTAGCCCTGGAGGCATAAATATGATGCTGCACAGTGGAATTTGTTTTCCCTTTCTTTTGAGGGGTGGGGTGAATGTTGGTTGGTTGTTTTTTTTGGTTTTAGTAAGGACAGTTCTCCATAAGGGAACTTGTTCCCCGTTGAATTACACAGAAAACCTGACTGCTGGTGACTCTGAACTTGGTACCTCCTGGTGCGGGACAGAGATTGCTTTGCCTTCGTTGTGTAAATGTTTTCCAAGACTGATTTGACTTAAATGCCTGTGTACTGTTCTTCCCCTTAAGACCAGGCTTTCTTCTCTTACACTGAACTTTTCTGAAGGCCAAATTAGAGCTTAGGTCGCGTGCTCCAATTCTGTCAGAAACTGGACAGTAAAGTAGAACTGTGGGTGGAAGGGAATTTTCTCATCCATAATTAAGGTAGTTAAGTGCTGTCATAAAGAACTGTTGTCATGTGTGTTAAGGGACAAGATTCTTCCACGAGACTTCACTGCTGTATTTTCCTCTGTTGCTTATGTCCCTGGGTCTGGTTTGTGGAATTTCTGCTGCACAACTGTCAGGGCAGTTGTGATTCAGCAGGTGCTTTACTTAGACCATATGAAACACTCTGTAATGTCAAAGACTTTAGAAAATCAGGCCTTGAGCACCAACACCTGATGTATTCCCTTTGCAGTGTAAAATGAGGGTAACACTGGAAAATAAGTCAGTGTTTGAGTAGCATGTAAATACTCTACTGATGGAGAAATTAATAATTCTGATTGCAGAGTAGTGTATGAATTGGATGCAGGAGGCAATACCTGAGGTCACACATGTAAAACACAGGCTAGTTAAAAATGACTGTTCAATGAATATGCAGCTTCATGAACATGAACTCAGCCGTTCACTTAAAATAAGGGAGTCTTTACATTTATCTGGTTTTCAGTTTGCTTTTTTCCTGTGTGTATCACTTGTCTTTTTAACCTGGTTCTGTTTGAATACACAGGAAAAAGAGAGAAACAAATCATGAAAGATTTTGTTTGTTTTGTAAAGCTCCCTGGGTTAGTAAAGATACAGGGGAAATTACTTACCAGGGTGACAGGCTAAAACACCCTTAATTTTCCTTGGGAGAAGAAAGGGGGTAGAAAAGTTGTGCTCCCTTAAATCCTGTCTTGCTTTGATCTCACCGGTCTGTGCCTCTGGGGTGGCTCATGGAAGACACAGGCAGAAGGAGCTGTAGCAGTGCCAGACCCGTTGGATGCCAGGACATGCTGCACCTTTTGGTGTAATTTGTTACATTTCAACAGCTGCTCCTCTTCCCAGTGCGAGAGGGAGCCTGGCAGGAACGGGCTTGTGGAAGGTGTGACTGCAGGGAATGACTGCCTGCTCCTGGGATTGTGCCTCGGAGGAGAGGGTGGCACTGCAGCACCCAGCCAGAGCTCCTTCAGTTCCCTGTTCTCACTGCTGACCCAGGGAAGAGCTACAGTGCTCCAGCTGGGAACCACCCTGGAGAAATGGCCTGTCACCTTAGACAAACAGAACTCGACCCAAATCCTGAATGCCTGAGGATTGGAGTGAGTAAAGAGCAGTGTGATAGATAAGACGTGGAGAGGTTGGATAGGACAGCAGTGAGAAATGCATGAGCTCTGAATAGATGGGCAGTGAATGAAAACAACTTTTTGTGTTAGCTGTTATTAAATTAGGAATGTATTTTCCTCTGCAGATCACTAGCCCATAGGTAGTTTGCTGTAGGAGAAATGGAACTTCCAAGTAAGTTTCCAAAGATGGTTTCAGGGAATCTGTAGGTTGTAACCTCAGTATCAGGGTTACTGATGGAATGACTGAGGGAATGCTGTCTTGGACACAACTCTTCCTTTGTTGTTTTAACACTTAAGTGCAATCACTTTAATTTATGTAAAGCAATTGGATACTGTTAATATAAAATTAACATTCCAGGGAAAATAAATGTATCTTGCTAATATGAAATTATCTCTTTCCATATAAGGTTATAAACAGCCAGGAGACACATTACTTAACCAAGCAGGCTTTCTGACCTCTGCTCTGAGCCTCGCTAATTATGAGCTTTTGAAGCTTGTTCACCTCTAGTGTTTGACTGGTTGGTCACCTCATTTTCTGCCAGCGTGTCAGAGCTCAGGCTTTAACATTGTTTTGACTCGTGCCTTGCCAAACTTCATGTTTGTTAATGTACTGGGGGCCTGCTAAGTGAGAGAGGTTAAACAGGGGTTCTACACAGACACGGGGCTGGAACAATAATTAGTTGGCAAAGTATTTATGGATAATGGGTTGGCATTATGTGGAAAACTCATGTGAGCTTTTACTCTCTTGGTGTCTCATCTGTATAACTGGAAACCAGTCTCGTGGGGCACAGATTCCTGTTTGGTCAGTTTTAGTTCCAAGACTGTGCAAATAGAGCATTGAAGAAAGGTATTCCAGAAAAGCTGAAAAGAGAGACATCTTTCTTGACATTATTAACCAGCCTCCTCTGCAGTGACAGGCTTTGCACAGCCCGTCCATCAGTGCTGCACAGCAGAGTTCGGGTGTGCTTGTGTTCAAGGACCTGAGTGGGGGTGTTTGTGAAGGGAATAGAGGCACTGGAATATTGGATTACCCTGTGACTTAACCTGAAGGAATTACACTGAATAATACTGCATTCACGGACAGCTAGTCAGTAATTTAGAACAATAGTTTAAGGTCTAGTGCCAGGTTTATTTTTAAAAGCCAGTGCAGACTATTATTATTGGTACTGGCCAAAATCTGAGTGCTGGGCTTGCCTTACGTTGCTGCTGGAAATGTGGAGAAGTTGTATTTGAGTTATGTTGGGGGATTTTTTTTTAGGGTAAATCTATCAAAACAGATTTCCTAATGTAAAACTGGACTTCTCTGAGTCCACACTGACTGCAAAGCAGTGTTAATCACCCTGGCAGGGCCGCTGATTCTCAAGGTCATGTCTGCCTGGAAGCCTGGCTTGATAAGTGCTCTCCTTGCAGTGACCCCTGTGGTTCACTGAGGGAATGCTCAAGTGCAGCTACATCTGGCGAAGTTCGATGGTCTGAAGCTCTTTGACAAGAAGGCACAAGAGACAAACAGGCAAGAATTCTGCTGTCTCTGGATTTTCAGGGAGAGGTTAACAAAGGACTTTGTTGATGCCTCTCACAGGAAATGAACTGCTGTGGAATAGGAGCATAGCTTTTCCAGTAATTAATACCTGGAAAGGTGTGGGAAGGACTGTCAGCTGTTCCAGTGAAGAGTGATCACTAGTGCAATCCCAGGGGGATCTGTGTTCAGGCTTGTGATTTCAGCATAGTTATAAACAGCCTGGAAGAGAGGTTGAGTAATGAAGCGACAGTATATGCCGAAAACCATGGAACTCAGGGAGCAGAAACCAGAGCCGGCTG